CCCCAAAACCCCAAAACCCCAAAACCCCAAAACCCCGTAATGCATATTTCCTTGATTTTAAGTAAACAGATAATTTATTTATATTAAATTTATTCTCACCAAGAGTGTTTGAAAAAGGAGACTAACTCCTCGTAATTGTATTGATTTAGAATCTACTTTAGCTAAGTAATTCGGCTACCTACATTATGATGACCCTTAATTTTGGCCGTATCCATGTAGAGATCTGCAATTATTCCCCAGAGATAGGTCAATTTACGGGGCTATTACTTGAATTAAAGTCTTATTTCATCTGAATTTCTCAGTATCTCCTTATACTCTTCCGATAAAAACCCATTATCTTCTTCCTAAAGTTAAAGTTCTTTCAAACCATCGATCAATTAATTCTTCTGAGCAATTGTGTATTATTCTTAAATAAGAGGGTGAAGTAGCTCTATAGTCCTAAAAATCGATTTGTCATTGATTTAAGATTCAATATCAATAGCTATCTTTTTTACTGATGCCTCAGAAGTCAATTAATCCTATCAAAATTTAATAACATCATAGCTTACTTTAATAATCGTAATGACTGAAATATTGTCACTTTCCACAATAATTTTAGCTTTTTATAACTCAATGAAGAGAAAAGTGCCAACGAATGTAGATTTGAAGTATAGCGTGTGTACTTAATCCTACTCATCAGAAGAGACATTAGGTGGAACATCAGGTAGACAATTTGATATCCAGTTATGGGCATCAGTTAAAGAGAATTTTCCATTTATGCTTATCTAGCTCAGCGGCAATTCCGATTTAAGATTTTCATCTACTGCATCGATTTTCTCATGCAAATTAAGTGGTCTCAAAGGAACATCAAGGAATTATGCTGTTTTATTACCTGTGCTTGGCTTTGGTGTAATAATGACATTTAAATGGCCTGTCTAACCCTCTGAGGTTCTTATCTTTATTTCTATTCTTGAACTCTTCGAATCATCACCGGCTACTTTGAGAGTAGCTAGGAGAACATTATTATTAATCTTGTCTTCTATTTTATTTATTTGACATATGTTATCTTTAGCACTAATGATATCAATATTTTGCATGCTTTAAAGTACAACTGAATCAATGGGAAGTTGAGAATCTAAGAATAATGAGTAAGCAGCCTCAGAAGGAAGAATGTTTAACTTATACGAAACTTTAAATGATTCCCCATAATCTACCTAGGGTACATCTCCTTACACAATGGCAATTTAAACATTTTCATCTTCAAGCTCTTACTCTTGAATCCTTTCAATCTCTTTAGCCTTCTTTTTCAGAAGCTCTACTTCTTTTTATAGAGTAGAGATTTTATCCTATTTCTCACTCTTAATTTGTTATAGTTACAGTTTAACCATTTTTTCAGATGCAGCTGGGGCTACAGTCATTTACTTATTTAGACCACCTTTATCAACCAATGACATTATCTTCCCACTGTAAGTGCTAAGCAAAATTTCTTATCTTTGTGGATTAGTAATAAAGCCCACATCTATTCCAGTTATAGATTCGTCAAGTTTAGTTTCAAATCTTAAGATCGGAATAGGGGATTTGTGCTCATATGAGTATATTTCTACAGAACTATCATCTCTAACCACGATAAAATTATGAAAGCCTTCTTCACCCAAAATATCGCAAGTTTTAACAATAGATGCTGCTGAACCATTAGTTTAAGATCCCTCTAAGCTCCATAATACAATAGGCTCATCTCTTGTTAGCTCAATGCATCCTATACCTCCATTTTTCAAGCCATATCCAACAATTGGGCAATATCTATGAGTTTATTCATTTGCTAAGATTAATGCTGTGCATGCTGCATCAAATTTCTATTAATATAGAACTTTATCTCCCTCAATTAATACTTTTAATGTCTTATCTTAACATGCAATTACTGGATTTAGAACCATTTGACCACTCACTGAGGTAACAACCATATCATTTATCCTGTCATCACATATATAAAAGTATTTGTCTACTATCTTGTTATTTACACTCTCATAGCAATTTAAGATGTATTCACCTGCTGACCATAAATTTTAACCTTAAACATGCAGACTCTTAATTGTTTCCGTATGACTAGTTTCAAGCTTAAAAAAATCCTTGCCTTTTTTCGTCACTCCTCTTATTTATTGACCAGCAGTAAAAAATACTGAAAATTTAGCAGCATTCCCAGAAATAAATACTCTAGATATGTCTTTGATTTGCGATTCTGACTTAAAATCTTGAGTCATCTCTCCTTTTTTATATTCATAGTACAATAATATAGTTGAACTACCAATGCAAACTAATATTGATTATAAACTATTCAATCTTTACATTTTTAGAATTTTTTCTTTGGCTCAAGCGGCATGATTTTAAGACAATGAGGTAAAATAGCATTACCTGTCTCAAAGTAAGTTTTAACTTCAAATTATTATGCTCTCATATTTTTAAGTTTTATAAAGTTTGAAATCAAATTTAAACATATTAAGAGGTCTAGGTTTAATTATCATTATTTATTAAATAATGGAAGAGGATATACAAGGGTATATCAATAGCATTAATCTCATTAAAAAAGAGTTTGAGCTATGTAAAATGCAGATTAACCTAAAAAAAGCTTAGAAATAAAAGATTATCTTGTTTTTAAAAGACGAAGAATAAAAGCAGTTCAATAGTGCCAACTTATATCAAGTATATTAGGGTGAATGGCAAAAGTAAACTCATTAAAGATGTGAGTTCCACAGATCAAGGCCACTATAGTTATATTGCTGGACTGATTTGAAATCAATATGCGAGAAATGCTTGATTGAAGAGCATATCAATCATAATGTCTGCTGGATTCATGAAATGAAAAACAGTGAATGATGGAATATTTAATAGTTAAAAAGAGAGCTCCAATATTATTACTAGGATTTCCTAGATAATTCACCAAACATTATGAAATAAAAGATTAGAGAGATAGACAAAGTCTATATATAAACAGTGCTGCTCTAATAGCAGCCTTTGACATTGTATTCAAAGCATTTAAGTGCATTTTAAAGAATGATCGTAATGGACTGCTAATTAGACTCACTTTAGTATCAAATATACAATCATCCTGCTAATGACTATTTATTTGAGCTACATAATTACTACTAAAAATTGAGAGAATTTGAGACAAATTTCAATCAGTGTAAAAGTATTTGCTTAACACGAAAAGAAGAGATCAATCTAGAACTCATGAGATGGATAGATTTTGATAGTGATGAACCTAGTGATATCTCAGCTGATATTTTTTTTGACGATCAATTTCTTAATGAGATAGAAGGATCTAAATAGGAACCATTATATTTAGGAGAAAAATTGAGAGTTCAGATAAATGAGTACATGCATTCTAAGGAATTTTTCGAACATAGACCGATTGCCTAGGCTGATGGGCAGCTTACTTATGTACTTTCTCCTATTTAGCAAATAATAACTTTGTGAAGAAAATTAGACCTCGTATTAGAAGAGATTGAATAGTATAATTTCTCAAAGATTGAAGAAATTTTGACATATTGCTAGTAAACAATAGCCGAAAGTGAACCATCATCCTTTTAAAATTCAAAAGAAGAGAAAATAGCTTAAATACAACTTCTTCATGATAAAGCTCATGAATATAAGATAAAGCATGCTGATGCTTGGAAATCAGAGGAAGATTCTAAAAAACGACATATTAGACTCTAAAATCTTGTGGAATTATTCAAAATATGTGAGCTACTCAAAGATGTGGTCGAGAATTAAACATAACTTCCTTTGGAGAGAGAAGAGGCAAAAAGATAGGAAAGAGAAATAGAATAACTTGAAAGAAATGGAAGATTTTACTAAATAGGAGATGATAATGATAATAACTCTGACATCAGCTTACAGTATTCTTCCTCAGGTAAAAAGAAGAAAAATAAAAATAAAAATATTGGGCAGACTAACTAAATAGTAAAGAATGAAGATTTTGAAAAACTTAAAATTGAAGCCTATAGATTACATACACAAGTTGGAAATGACTAAAAGCCTTACATTCCAAAATAAGAGAGTGAAAACAAAATCATCAAATTCAATAAGGTTCCCAAAAATTAATGCTTATATTGCACTTGATAACTGTCTAACGATCTGATTGTTGCATCTTGCGGACCAAACAATAGTGCCATGATTTTCGAATATGAGGGTTTTAGGATCCAAAGAACTCTATATAATGAAACATTTGAAGTCATTTATTTCATGGCTGAAATTGAAGGATTCCTCATAACAGGACATTCAAAAGGAATATTGATGATTTGGGATCATACAATTGGGGAAAGAGTTATTAAGTATGAATGTAATGTGAAAGACCCAGTAACTTCTATAGTATACATGAAGAGTAGCATTATCTGGATTTCCCTGATGAATGGTGATATGATCCTCCTAAGAGTTAATGGACTAGCTTTAACTTTAGATTAAATGAATTAGGTGAAGATTTAAGAGCCAGCCAAGAAGATATACAGTCTCACTAAGCTTGGTGATGGTAGAGTTTGTGTATCACAAGACAAAGGTTTTACAGTCTGGTAGTTGAACTTTATTTAAAAACAAACAACCAGTTAGTTATCAATGCAAGAGCAAATAAAAATGTAATAGCAGAGCAAACAAATTTTGCTTGAGGATTTCACAGTCTCTTAGATCCTAGAATACGATGTAAATCAAGTCATTGTTTCAACCATGTCTTGCATTTATTTCTTGATTTCCCTAAAGACTGGATAGGTTATCCACAAGATTTAGGGGTTAGGAAAGTATTGCTTAGACTTGATAAGGGTACCTCACTATGAGTAGATGGGGGTAAAGAATATTTATTGTGGAGTTGAAAATGAATTCTATATCTTGATAGATGTAGAAAATGAGAAGATTAGAAGACTCTAGTCTGAAGGTGCTGAAAATCAAAGTCCATGGTACACAGGAGCACTGTTCCTGAGAAACAAGACTGATTGCATGGTAGTCGCTGAGGAGAAAAAGAGATCAATAAGAAGCTTTGTTGTAAATAATCTCTATTGATTATTTCAAGTATTATAGCTACTTACCAATTAATTTCACGTTTTATTAATCATTTAATTAAATTTACGAACAAACAAGGTTTTGGGGTTTTGGGGTTTTGGGGTTTTGGGG